CTCTTTACTTTCACTTCCTGTTTGTCAGCAGCCAATCAGAGACAGAGCTGCTGATGACTCATCAGTTACCTGGAGCAGCAGGTGGTTGTTGGACAGCAGAGAGGAGGAGGAGGTGACCTTTGACCCCCTGAAGTCTGTCAGCAGCAACCCCCCCCAGGATTAGCGCCGGGCTTTAAAGGCATACTATGCAGTTTTCCGGTTTTGTCAAACAGCTCCCCCTAGAGTCGCTGCGGAGAACTTGTATTTAACGTTAACTGTCATAAATACCACTCACCAGAGCCGTCTCTTTATACGGCTCTGTGTCTCTGCACTCACAACCTGATCCCCCCCCGTATACTGGTACATGTTCAGTAGGATGGAAGCGTCGGACATCGAGCAGACAAAGATAGACTCCGAAGATGTCTACTGACCAGGTAACGTCTTCCATTGAGGCTGCTTCTTATGTCGCTGATATGTGACGTCGCGCTGTAAAGCGATTCATGATTCTCACGAGATTTGGCGGGACGCCACCTTTCAGTCTTGCATTGCTGGTTCTGCCAGCGGCGTCCCTCTCCAGCTTTGCTATGGTGATGATTTGCTATACTACGAGTTCGTTTACCATCGAAATGACTTCGAAGCTGTTATATTAAGGTAAAAATCTTGCAGTGTGCCTTTAATGTGACATAGTGGGCGAGCGGCGTAATGACAGCAGTGGCGTCCGTCACATGATGCACACTGACTCTACCCGACAGAGTTTCACTGTCAGCTTGGATCCATTGGGTCCAATAACGTTTGAACGTCTGAAAGATTCTCACCATTAAATCCTTTTATCTCTATTAGTTCAATTCAGTTTTATTTGTATAGCACCAATTCATAACAGAAGTTATCTCAGGACACTTTTCAAATAGAGCAGGTCTAGACTGAACTCTTTAACATTAATTACAGAGACCCAACAGTACCACCATGAGCAAGCACTTGGAGACAAGGGCAAGGAAACACTTCCTGTTAAAAGGCAGAAACCTAGGACAGATCCTCCGGCTCTAGGTGGGTGGTCGTCTGTCTCGACCAGTTGGGGTGAGAGAGAGAGAGAGAGACACACACACACACAGACACAGACACACACACACACACACACACACAGACAGACAGACAGACAGCAACAACAGTATTGTGTAACACCCCTTTAAACAATAATAGGTGGCAATACTACTCTAGATAATGGACCAGTAGGTTCGACTGCTGGAGCACAGTGAAATGCTTAAATCAAGCTCAGAGGCAAGAGGTTGAACTCTGGAACATGCCGACTTTTTGTATTAAAGAAAATAATAATACATACAAAATCACGAACAATGGGACCACTCACACTGATAACACTGGTTGTGTTAAATCACAAAAAAAAAAAGTATCACATTTGCAATTGCTCAGTTTCACATTAATTATCAAAATCTTAATTCTAAACTGAATTTAAGATTACTTTTGTACAATTCACTTTTCTCTATCTAAATCAAATTCAATTATATAACATGGCCAAAAGAACAATCAATTTTGCATCCAACCAATACTCTTCAGGAAAATATCCTGCCACTCAGTTCTCAGTTCCACACGATGAAGTCAAAAAGTCAAGTCAAGTCAGAGTCATAAGGGGGAATGTGTGTGTGTGTGTGTGTGTGTGTGTGTTGATCTGGGGGGCTGAATGTGAGAATGTTTTGCAGCAGTCGGCCCACCACCCACAGTGTGGCAGAATTAGGATACGTTCAAGTAGCCACTGGTAGTATCTGGTGATACTGTTTCACTTTCACTTTTGATCCAGGTGGGAAGGCTTGCCATCAACGTCGCTGGAAGATCCAGATCCAGGGAACAAACAACCAAAAAAAACCCTGACCTGTCGACAGACAGTGGTCCGTGTATGTTTTGGTCATTGGATTTTCCTTTCAGAAACGGGTATTAAAAAAGAGAAAACGAGTGGTTATTTGATTTTCGTTTTAAAATACAAAAATTAAAATTGAAATACAAGGCGTTTTTCTTTTTCATGGTCAAAGGGGGATGAGCGAAATTTAAAAAATGATTCGATTTTCATTTTCTATTTCATATAACAAAAAATAAAATCACTAGAAAACAGAAACGGAAAAAAGGCCTGTTTTTTCATATTCTGAGACCGGATGTTGTCATTTACAGGACGGTGCTGTGGAGAAGAAACAGTAGAGCAGTAGACTGCGGTCAATCCAGTCGTGAGTCCGATCTCCGTGGTCAAATCAGCCGCACTTAAATTTACAGTGTACAAGTATTCTCAGCATTATGGTAAATGCGGAGAAACAGTGTGTTTACTTCTGGTTTTCAAAATAAAGGTATTTAGAACAGTAAGCTATAATTCGAACCTACATTTAATATAAAATTTGTTACATTAAAGTGTTTTATGCGCCCCTGATGAATAAAAAACACTTTATATCAAGTATCTTTACTGCACCAGTGTGGAGAAATGCCAAAATAAAAGTCTCATATTTATGCCTCCAGAGATTGCATATTTGACCATATTTGAGGTACTGTAAAAACATATTGCTCAGTGTTTCCTGGCTACTGATGGTATATTTGACTTTTGCACATATGAGACTACAAGTATACTTAATATCAAGCATTTTTATTGTACCAATTTGGAGAAATTCAACAATAAAAGTCCATATTTGTACCTCCAAGTGGTATTTTCATATATTTTGAGCTACTTTAAAAACAATAATTCCTGGCTATGGATGGTATATCTTACTTCTACACATCTAAGACTACAAGCATACTTAATATCAAGCATTTCTACTGCACCAATGTGGAGAAATTTAAGAATAAAAGGTGGTTCCACTGTGTGTGGAACCAACTGCAACAGCTGTCACGCGAATCTGTAAAAGGGAAAAATAATATATGAGGAAGAGACAGTAGGTACAATGGTGTTTTGAAGTTAAAACTAATTCTTTTTCCCTTTTACAGATTCAGTGTGACAGCTGTAGAGCTGCAAAATAAGACGATTTTTGTCATGATTACTGCATCATTATTGAAGTAACGTTATAATGAAAATGCTTCAACCATAGCCTGGAAATATTGAGCACTGGTGCAGTAAAGATACTTGATATAACGTGTTTTTTATCCATCAGAGGCGCATGAAACACTTTAATGTAACATATTTTATTTTAAATGTAGGTTCGAATGATAGCTTACTGTTCTTAATACCTTTATTTTGAAAACCGGAAGTAAATACGCTGTTTCTCCGCATTTACCATAATGCTGAGAATACTTGTACACTGTAAATTTAAGTGCGGCTGATTTGACCACGGATATCGGACTCACGGCTGGATTGACCGCAGTCTACTAGCCTACTGTTTCTTCTCCCACAGCACCGTCCTGTAAATGACAACATCCGGTCTCAGAATATGAAACAACAGGACTTTTTCTGTTTCTGTTTTCTAGTGATTTTATTTTTTGTTATATGAAATAGAAAATGAAAATCGAATCATTTTTTAAATTTCGCTCATCCCCCTTTGACCATGAAAAGAAAAACGCCTTGTATTTCAATTTTAATTTTTGTATTTTAAAACGAAAATCAAATAACCACTCGTTTTCTCTTTTTTAATACCCGTTTCTGAAAGGAAAATCCAATGACCAAAACATACACGGACCAGACAGTGTCCATTACACACAAAATATTAAAATCACAGTGTAAGCTTTCCACTTTGCTAGGTCCTGTAACCTTTCATTTTAACATTAACTGCATATAAAAAACAAAGTTGCAACAGCACAATATAATAGTCAATATGGATAATCCATAATGTAAAATAACTTCCCTTTTTGTAAATAAAATAGCTTCTCACAGCTTACAGTAAGCAAATAAGTGCATAAAAGGTCCGTGTATGTTTTGGTCATTGGATGTTCCTTTCAGAAACGGGGATTAAAAACAGAAAACGAGTGGTTATTTGATTTTCGTTTTATATACAAAAATTAAAATTGAAATACAAGGCGTTTTTCTTTTTCATGGTCAGAAAGGGATGCGCGAAATTAAAAAAATTATTCGATTTTCATTTTCTATTTCATATAACAAAAAATAAAATCACTAGAAAACAGAAACAGAAAAAAGTCCTGTTGTTTCATATTCTGAGACCGGATGTTGTCATTAACAGGACGGTGCTGTGGAGAAGAAACAGTAGGCTAGTAGACTGCGGTCAATCCAGCCGTGAGTCCGATCTTGTGGTCAAATCAGCCGCACTTAAATTTAGAGTGTACAAGTATTCTCAGCATTATGGTAAATGCGGAGAAACAGCGTATTTATTTCCGGTTTTCAAAATAAAGGTATTTAGAGCCGTAAGCTATAATTAAAATATGTTACATTAAAGTGTTTTATGCGCCCCTGATGAATAAAAAAACACTTTATATCAAGTATCTTTACTGCACCAGTGTGGAGAAATGCCAAAATAAAAGTCTCATATTTATGCCTCCAGAGATTGCATATTTGACCATATTTGAGCTACTGTAAAAACATATTGCTCAGTGTTTCCTGGCTACTGATATATTTGACTTTTACACATCTGAGACTACAAACATACTTAATATCAAGCATTTTTACTGTACCAATTTGGAGAAATTCAACAATAAAAGTCCATATTTGTACCTCCAAGAGGCATATTTTCATATATTTGAGCTACTGTAAAAACACTTTGCTCAATAATTCCTGGCTATAGATGGTATATCTTACTTCTACACATCTTAGTAATTATTATTATCAAATCAATCATCAAATAATAATAATAATCAAAAATAATATATGAGGAAGAGACAGTAGGTACAATGGTGTTTTAATCATGTTTAGTCTTTATATTATCATTTATATTAACAACAAGATGTTATTAAACATTTGTGTGAAATTTTGTCATGATTACTGCAGCATTATTGAAGTATAATGAAAATGCTTCACCCATAGCCTGGAAATATTGAGCAATATGTTTTTACAGTAGCTCAAAAATATAAGAAAATATGGAATCTGGAAGTATAAATATGGGACATTTATTCTTCAATTTCTCCAAATTTGTACAGTAGAAATGCTTGATATTAAGTATGTTTGTAATCTCATATGTGTAAAAGTCAAATATACCATCAGTAGCCAGGAAACACTGAGCAATATGTTTTTACAGTACCTCAAATATGGTCAAATATGCAATGAAACACTTTAATGTAAAATATTTTATTTTAAATGTAGGTTCGCATTATAGCTTACTGTTCTAAATACCTTTATTTTGAAAACCGGTAAGTAAAGTAAAGTACAGACAATGTACGGACAAAGCACGGACAAAGTACGGACAATGTACGGACAAAGTACGGACAAAGTACGGACAAAGCACGGACAAAGTACGGACAAAGTACGGACAAAGTACGGACAATGTACGGACAAAGCACGGACAATGTACGGACAAAGCACGGACAAAGTACGGACAAAGTACGGACAAAGTACGGACAATGTACGGACAAAGTACGGACAAAGTACGGACAAAGTACGGACAAAGTACGGACAATGTACGGACAAAGTACGGACAAAGTACGGACAATGTACGGACAAAGTACGGACAAAGTACGGACAATGTACGGACAAAGTACGGACAAAGCACGGACAATGTACGGACAATGTACGGACAAAGCACGGACAATGTACGGACAATGTACGGACAAAGCACGGACAATGTACGGACAAAGTACGGACAATGTACGGACAAAGTAAGGACAAAGTACGGACAATGTACGGACAAAGTACGGACAAAGTACGGACAAAGTACGGACAAAGTACGGACAAAGCACGGACAATGTACGGACAATGTACGGACAAAGCGCACAAAGGAGACACAGTCAAAGCTACAACTATTAGTTCAAGCTACTAGCGCTGCGGCTAGCGACTGTGCTAATGCCCGTATTAACACTAGTTCTTTCACTAGTACTTCACTAAAACAACAACGGACTTCCGTAAACGAAGAGTAAACCATATGTTTTCGGGTTTTCTTCAGTTTTTGCCGTCCAATCTTTCGACTCTCTTCTCAATATCGGCCGCTCACTCTCGCTCCTCTCTTCATACAGACGGCGGGAACTCTCTGCATCCAAGTCACTGATTGGTCAACACTGGCTTGTCAATCTCTTCACAGATATCAAAGATCCTCTTATTTAGGTGATACTCATTACTCTGAGTGAAAATAAATTGACAATAGTCTTAATTAATTTATCTTTTTTTTTTTCCCTTCTTCTCTCATTCTGGAACTCACTCTGTTATGTGGGTTACAATTGGTAATGGCAATCTAGCAGGACCATGGCAGGAGGCTCCACCAGGATCCATGAGAACCTGCGAGACGAGAAAGCACAAGAACTCCGGGGAAGAAGTGGAGTTAGTAACATGCATTAATGGAACATGAATGAGTGCAGAAAGAGAGAGGAAGAGAGGAGCTCAGTGCACCATGGGAAATCCCCCGATAGTCTAGGCCTATAGCAGCATAACTAAGGGATGGTTCAGGACTCACCTGATCCAGCCCTAACTATAAGCTTTATCAAAGAGGAATGTCTTAAGCCTACTCTTGAATGTGGTGAGGGTGTCTGCCTCCAGAACCACAACTGGAAGCTGGTTCCACAGGAGAGGAGCTTGGTAACTGAAGGCTCTGGCTCCTGTTCTACTTTTAGAGACTATAGGAACCACAAGTAGCCCAGCATTCAGAGAACGTAGTGTTCTAGTGGGGTAATAGGGTACTATGAGCTCTTTAAGATATGAAGGGGCCTGACCATTAAAGTTAACAAACGGTTAAACTGGAAGTTAGAGGCTCGTCCGGTGGAGGTCTCTGGTCCCGCTGTGGTTACAGAGCATGCTCAGTAGACTTCCACCAGAGGAACCACTGTGACCTTCAGTTCTCTGACCCTCTGAGGGATCGAGTCTCCAGCAGAGCCCAACAAGCTGCTGACGGTGCTTCACTAGACTCATACACTCAACCAGTATTTGTACTTCGAACTACCCGTATTACTGAATACTGCTCGCGCTCTTCACATCACAGTAACACTGGCAGGCCACACAGCAGTTACAGTATTTAGGAGGAAGAGACGGAGCTCCTCAGTGGCTTTACCAAACGCAGTCTGAAGGAGTGCCGTCCCCTCACTGAAAGCTTCAGGAGTTCATGTGAAACAAACAATAAAGCTGTGAACACGACTGGACGACGACCCACCGAGAACACTGAGACACAGAGAACACAGAGAACACAGAGAACACAGAGAACACAGAACACAGAGACACAGAGAACACTGAGACACAGAGAACACAGAGAACACTGAGAACACAGAGAACACTGAGACACAGAGACACAGAGAACACTGAGACACAGAGAACACTGAGAACACAGAGAACACTGAGACACAGAGACACAGAGAACACTGAGACACAGAGAACACTGAGACACAGAGAACACCGAGAACACAGTTTAAAGTCTTTAAAGACGCAGTGTGATATTGGCTGTAGTTTAAAGGGTTAAAGACACAGAGTGATATTGGTTGTAGTTTAAAGTCTTTAAAGACACAGTGATATTGGCTGTAGTTTAAAGACGCAGTGTGATATTGGCTGTAGTTTAAAGACGCAGTGTGATATTGGCTGTAGTTTAAAGACGCAGTGTGATATTGGCTGTAGTCTAAAGATGTAGTGTGATATTGGCTGTAGTTTAAAGTCTTTAAAGACGCAGAGATCAACTGATTGGCAACGACTGGCAGCTCCTTCAAACCTGCTACATGTTAGTTTGAATGTGTAGTTTATCTTTCATTGATGTCTGATGAGGGATCAGCTGCTGCCGTCGGTACGCTCACTCCTTCGTAGACTTTGACCAGACCACCACAGTGGGTGCTGTGGCCCCAAGAGGAGAGGAAGAGAGCCGATAGGGGCCCTGCTGGATAATGTCCCTCTGGACCAGATGGGACAAACAGCAGCACTAACATCAGCAGCAGAATCAAACTGTGGTTGAGTGAGTCAGCAGCGTCTCTGTTCAGCACTTTGTTGTTTAGTTTTCTGTTTTTACCATCAGACGCCTGAACGCAGCGTCTCTGGAAAGTCCCCACTCTTTACTTTCACTTCCTGTTCGTCAGCAGCCAATCAGAGACAGAGCTGCTGATGACTCATCAGTTACCTGGAGCAGCAGGTGGTTGTTGAACAGCAGAGAGAGAGGAGGAGCTCAGACGCCCCCCTACTGGATCAATATCAGATCAACAATAACAATACAGACCATAATATATTTACAACTGAAATCCCACTAAAATATCACCAATACATATAAAGACTATTAAAAACTAAAATCAAACTGTTTGTTTACTTTATTTATAATGTTTCATAAATTCAACACAAATATTTTAAAATAACTTACTGAAAGCAAATAATAAACTAAATATAGAAATAAAGTGTCTTAATATTCTTATTGTTAATAAGTCAGCCAATTAAAAAGCAGCTGCTCACTGTGTCATCTGTTGCTAGGCAGCAGAGCGTTGATGCTCAGCAGCAGTGAAACGCCCCCTGCTGGTTGTTCATCATCATTACAGATATTATAAACCACAGATCAATAAATAAATAATATTCTGTTATTATATCACACTGCAGCTCTGTGATATAATAATACAAAATATAGTTTAATTAATTTATTATTTATTTATTTTAATAATAATAAATGGTTTTATTGAAATAAATCAATACCTGCTGCTTCTGTAATTTATTATTTATTTTTGATGATTATTATAATATTACCTGACTCGGGTTTATGAGAGACTGTGATGTTGCCATGACAACAGTGTGTGGTGTGAAATAAAAGAAGATTTAATAACTTATATCAACATTAAACATTAAAACTAAAGTGCAGGTGAGCTGGCTCCTCCTCTTCCTGTTGCTGACTTCCTGTCAGTGTACAGGTGAGATCAGTGGGTGTTGATGTGCAGACAGGTGAGCTGTAGAGGACGAGTCATCCTCGTCATGAAGTCTCGCTCTCCTCGACTGAACCTCTTCTTCTCTGAAACAAACAGATTTATAAACACTGTTACAGGAAGTCTGGAGACCTTCAAAATAAATGTTAACGCTTTAAAACCTCATGTGTGAACTTTATTGAAAAAAATCCTCTGATTATTGATTGTATATTGATTATGTATTGACTGTTTATTGACTGTATATTGATTACATATTCAATTCAACTCAATTTTATTTGTATAGCGCCAATTCATAACAGAAGTTATCTCAGGACACTTTTCAAATAGAGCAGGTCTAGACCGAACTCTTTATAACATTAATTACAGAGACCCAACAGTACCACCATGAGCAAGACCTTGGAGACAAGGGCAAGGAAACACTGCCTGTTAAAAGGCAGAAACCTAGGACAGATCCTCCGGCTCTAGGTGGGTGGTCGTCTGTCTCGACCAGTTGGGGGGAGAGAGAGAGAGAGAGAGAGAGAGAGAGAGAGAGAGAGAGACAGACACAGACAGACAGACAGGTGCACAGCAACAACAGTATTGGCAATGGCAATCTAGCAGGACCATGGCAGGAGGCTCCACCAGGATCCATGAGAACCTGCAAGACGAGAAAGCACAAGAACTCCGGGGAAGAAGTGAAGTTAGTAACATGCATTAATGGAACATGAATGAGTACAGAAAGAGAGAGGAAGAGAGGAGCTCAGTGCACCATGGGAAATCCCCGATAGTCTAGGCCTATAGCAGCATAACTAAGGGATGGTTCAGGACTCACCTGATCCAGCCCTAACTATAAGCTTTATCAAAGAGGAATGTCTTAAGCCTACTCTTGAATGTGGTGAGGGTGTCTGCCTCCAGAACCACAACTGGAAGCTGGTTCCACAGGAGAGGAGCTTGGTAACTGAAGGCTCTGGCTCCTGTTCTACTTTTTAGAGACTATAGGAACCACAAGTAGCCCAGCATTCAGAGAACGTAGTGTTCTAGTGGGGTAATAGGGTACTATGAGCTCTTTAAGATATGAAGGGGCCTGACCATGAAGAGTGGGCTTTTTAAGAAGGGGTTTAATTACAGCTACTTTAAAGGACTGTGGTACATATCCTGATAATAAAGAAAGATTAATCATATCCAGTAAAGAAGTGCCAATTAAGGGAACAACTTCTTTAAGCAGCCTAGTTGGGATCGGGTCTAATAGACAGGTTGATGGCTTCTATGAAGAAATGATTGAAGTTAACTGATGAAGATCGATAGCAGAAAAACAGTCTAAATATATATCTGAGTTTACATTGACAGAAGTCCCTGAACTTGGAGAGCCACTGATAACTGTTGATGGCAGTTGGTGATTAATTTTTTCTCTAATAGTAATAATTTTATTATAGAAGAAGCTCATGAAGTCATTGCTACTTAAGTTTATGGGGATATGTGGCTCAATAGAGCTGTGACTCTCTGTCAGCCTGGCTACAGTGCTGAAGATGAACCTAGGGTTATTCTTATTTTCTTCTATTAGTGCTGAGTAATAGGCTCCTCTGGCATTACGGAGGGCCTTTCTATAAGTTTTAAGATTATCTTGCCAAATTGAGCGATATTCTGATAATTTGGAAGAGCGCCATTTCCTTTCAGATTTCCTAGCTATTTGTTTTAACTGGCGGGTTTGGTGGTTATACCAAGGTGCTAGTCTCCTATGTTTTAATAATTTCCTTTTTATAGGAGCGATAGAGTCTAATGTTGATTGTAGTGAGCCTGTAGCACTATCAACAAGATTATCAATTTCAGAGAGACTAAAGTTATTATAGGACTTTATGGCATTGAATTAAACACTGAAGGAATATCCTCCTTAAATTTAGCTACAGCACTGTCAGATAGACATCTGCTGTAGGAAGTTTTGCCTAATGGCTTATAATCTAATAGTATGAATTCAAAAGTTATTAAATAATGGTCAGATAGGAAAGGATAATGTGGGAAGACTATTAAATGTTCAATATCAATGCCATATGATAGAACAAGGTCAAGAGTGTGATTAAAACAATGAGTTTTATTTACACTCTGACAGAAGCCAATTGAGTCTACTAATGATATAAATGCGTTACTAAGGCTGTCATTGTTAACATCCACATGAATATTAAAATCACCTACAATAAGTAGTTTATCTGATTTAAGGACTAAACTTGATAGAAACTCTGAGAAATCAGATATAAAATCAGAGTACGGTCCAGGAGCGCGGTACACTATAACAAATAGAACTGGCTGCAGTGTTTTCCAGTTTGGGTGAGAAAGACTAAGAACAAGGCTTTCAAATGAATTATAATTTAGTTTAGGTTTAGGGTCCATTAAAACGCTCGAATCATATATGGCTGCCACTCCACCTCCTCGGCCAGTGCCTCGAGGAATGTGAGTATTAATATGACTGGGGGGGGTGGATTCATTTAGGCTAACATACTCCTCGTGGGACAACCAGGTCTCAGTAAGACAAAGTAAATCAATATCATAATCTGATATTAGTTCATTCACTAAAACAGCTTTAGAGGACAGAGACCTGATATTTAACAGCCCACATTTCATTCTCTTATTTTGTGCTACTGAGGAGTTAGTTTTAATTTTTATTAGATTTTTATGTTGAACTCCTCTTGTTTTTATTTCTGTTAATAATTTAGGTGGTCGGGGGACAGACACAGTCTCTATGGGGTTTTGGGTGGGTGACTGTTCTAAAGAAAGAGCAGAGAAGTGTGTAAGACAGCAGCTCTGCTTCCTGGTCCTAACTCTGGACTGTCAGGTTTTAGAAATAAACTTCACCATATTTCCTTTTATTGATTTATTTTAAACAGACATACACAGTGTTTCACTGACAACAATAATACAATATATAATCCATAAAGTATATAATCTATTATATAATACCATTAATACTGGTGGGTGAGGTAAATAAGACCTTTACCCTCTGTGGGTGAGGTAAATAAGACCTGTACCCTCTGTGGGTGAGGTAAATAAAGACCCGTATCCTCTGTGGGTGAGGTAAATAAGACCTATACCCTCTGTGGGTGAGGTAAATAAAGACCCGTACCCTCTGTGGGTGAGGTAAATAAAGACCCGTACCCTCTGTGGGTGAGGTACCTGTACGTAGAGACTCCCACACAGCGAGCAGCTCCACTGTAGCTGCAGGAACAGGAAACACATCACATGACCTTTGATCTGACCCAGGATGCACCTCTGTTCTGTGCTCGTTGCCCACACACCCAGATGCATCATGGGAGGAGGGGGACCGACAGCGCTGATGGGACAAACACAGAGATCAACACAGCTGATATTAACTTTAACTGATTAAGGTTTTAAATAAAGTTTGTTAGTATAAGACGAGTGATGAGTCAGCAGTTCCACCATCTGATGGCGCCGCGTCGTACTGACTGTGTGACAGCAGCATTGTGGGTAATGGGACTGATGTTAGACCTCCAGTTACTGATGAAGGTTGGATGGATGAGATCTTACAGATTAGTGAGACATTGTTTAAATAAATAAAACATTTCAGCTGATGGACTGAGTAACTGTAC